CCTAGCAAATGTGCATTCTTTTCTATGTGAGGAGGGCTCCACAAAGACTTCACTGGTATCTGCAGAAGTAGAGGCCCATGTGAAAAAGAAAGGGCATTTATGGGATGGCATGTAAGTCTCCCTTGCTGTATTAAATAAACCATATCCTACATTCAATTTGGTTAGCCTGAATACTTACACAATTATTGAGGCCCTTTTTGGGCATGAACCATTTCTAGGGTTCTAGGGGAAACCCTAAACCACTTAATTATTATTGTGAAGCCTTCATGATTTAACCAAAATTCTTGTTGACTACCACTCAAACATTGTTTCTATGGGATACAGTGCATTCTGCATTCCAAATGACTGACTTTAAAGTGAGCATCAGGTCATAACTCACTTATACATTGGGGACTGCTCATGCAATAAAACATAGTTATCACTAAAACCACACTTTGATCTCATCATCGTGGATAATCCCTCCAGTTGTACAATCCATCCCTGCCTTCTTGTTCTGTGTCATTCTTATTGTATCTTCCTATAAATTCCTCATAAGAGATCCACTCAGTCACTTTATATTGAATGGACATCATTGGAACATCCATCAGTTACCTGTAACTCTCACCATAGTGGGGCATAGACCATGAGCCTAGTGTGCCTAGGTATGCCAGAAAACCCTGGGGTGAGTATTACCATTGTCCCTTCCTCTGGGTGGAAAGAATGCAGGTTTGTTAGGGGGTCAAGCAATTCCCTCTCTAAGGTTAGTCTCACCTTCCCTCAGGACCTACTGAAGTCACATGATCCATAGTGATAATGGATGATGCTTGTCCAAGATGTGCATGCTGGATCATCATCCAATTCTCACCCCTTAACTGTGAGTGTATCCTAAGGATCTGTACTGGGTCATATTCTCTTCTCTCTATATACTATCTGTCCTCATGACCTCATCAGCTCTTAGGGTTTAATTATCATCTCTTTGCAAATGACTCCTGGATCTATATACCCAACCTTACTTTCTCTCTTGAGCTTTAGTCCTATATCACCAACTGCCTATTGAACATTTTGAACTAGATGTCCTCCAGGCATTTCAAACTCAACATGTCCAAAACTGAACTCATATTTTCCCTCCAAACACCTCCTTTCCCCTAATTTCCCTATTTCTGTCATGGGTACCACCATTCTTTCAGTTAGATTGCATATGAAACTAATAAAATATCCCTACTAAGGGGAAGGAGAAGGACTTATGGCAACACTTGCCAGGATGTTCCCTGGGTCATCTGGATACACTCTATGCACCCACAATTCTCATGATATTATTGGCCTCCATCCTTTTCTGGTCGTAAGTCCTTCAGATGGTTTCCTTTATGCTGATTGTCTTGCATAGGTCTTCATTGGGAATATATTGCAGCCTAATTACACCCACCACAAGTCTCTTATCCTTCGGGTAATTCACAACTTTAATTCTTTAGAGATGGTATATTCCATGATTTGAAGCCTTATAGTATCACCTGCATATGGAAGTTGAAAAAAAAAAAAAGGCAGGCCTTTGTGCAAGGCAGAAGATTGGAATCACTAAAATGAAAGTACCATTTTCCCAAAGGCAATCCAACCCACTGTGGTCCTTCTGTTTACTTCTAGGCCCAGTGTCTTTGCTAGATACACAAGGTGTTCCCAAAGTTTTAGTGTAGTTTTAATCTTCAGTGATAAGCTTTAATAGTTTAAAAATGCTCGGAGACTTTTGGAACATCTATGTGTATTCTAGAGAATGGCTTGATTGGCTGCCCATTCAACATTGTGTCATAAGGTGAACTATAGACATTCTTCATCCACTTTTTTTTTTCCTGGCTAAAGAGACTACAAGAAACCATGAATCTTATTTAGGAGGCTCTTTAGTATTCCAGGAAGTGATACAATCAACACAACACCATCCATGTACAGGAGTAATTGGAAGACCTCAATATTTATAATAAACCTCTTTTCCATTTGAACCCAGTATTGGACATCCTCCTGGAAGTAGCAAGCGTCTTTGGAGAGCTTATCTTTTGTTGTTTTATGCCTTGCTTGATGATAATAATAATCGGATGGTTACTGAACAATGGTGTTAGGGGCAGCTAGGTGGTGCAGTGGTCTTGAAGTCAGGAAGACCTGAGTTCAAATCTGGCCTCAGACACATGACGCTTACTAGCTGTGTGACCCTGGGCAAGTCACTTAACCCTGACTGCCTCACCAAAAAAGACCAAATAATGGTATTTCCATTTTTATATCTTTTGGAGAATCTTTTATGATTTTGTTATATGCATGGGAGATACTTTGTTGAAGACCCTTTAAGGTTTTGCTCTACCAAATCAAATGTCTTTCTTGGAGTTATTAAATAAACCTAATGGGATCTTATAGTTTCTGTGCCATTACACAAAGGTTATCTGTCTCACACACATATTACTCTCTCCTCACAACATGATAAGCCCTATAATTTATTAAAAATCAGAATTATCTACTAATCAATACTTCCATCAAACCCATTGCATTTATGGTTGCATTGCTATCACATGGCAAAAATATTATTTTTTTCCTTTGGGGAAAATATACTTAAATTTTCCAGTTGTCTTGGACTGGGCCTCCTCTTTAATTTTTTTTTAAACTCTGAGAAGTCCAATATTACCATTTAACAATAGAAATTATAGCTAGTGCCTACTATGTAGCAGGCACTGTGCTAAGTGCTTTACAAATATTATCTCATTTGATCCTCACAACAACCCTGAGAGGGAGGTGTTAATCCCTATTTTACAGTTGAGGAAACTGAGGCAGACAGAAGTTAAGTGACTTGCCCAAGGTTACACAACTAGTGAATGTCTAAGGTGGGATTTTAACTCAGGTCTTTCTGACTCCAAGTCTAGTACTCTAAACACTGCCCCACCTAGCTGCCTCTCTGCCATTTCCATTTTAAAGAGTGGGATGGGATAATATGGATAGCATATAGATGGGTAACATCTATATATAATATAATAATATGGATAATAGGATCACTTGTGAGTCATTTCTATTAGATAAAAACCAGCTACAGAGATTTTCTGCTCTGCCCTGCTGATGACTACCGCACAATTGTTTACCTGAATGAAGAGTCTCTGTTGAGATCAGCGAGAGGAGAAGCTGTTGGAGAGCATAATAGACAATTTGTGAGGGAAAAGTCAGAAGCATCTCAGGCAGCCACACTTGGCTTTTGCACACTCATAATGGCTTAATTTAAGAGCCTAAAATCACTCCAAATGGAGCGAAAGACACTGAAATGTGGATTAAACCTTAGAGTACTTGGCTCTGCTTGTCACAGTGACATGTCAGAATCTCATTGCAAAGTTTGCTTAAAAGAGGTGGCTTAAATTAAATAGACTAGGGTCCAGATTACTCATCATCCTTCTATTATGCCTTACTCCCATTGAAAGTTTCCCTTCATTAACATGCGCTCTGCTGCTTCCTAAAATAACTACCTAGCCAAATACCGCAATCCTGAAAAGCATGTTAAGAAAGGTTCTGGGATCGTGCTCATTACAGAATATTTTTAGCAGAGCAATAATTAGGATTTGGAAAAAAAAAAACGGATGCCTCATTATATCACCAGAGTATTCTCTTCTTCTTTCATGGCCCTGCCAAAGCAGATCTTTCCCCCTGCCCCAAATCTGCAGCAGCAGACACAGACGATGACTTCGTTTTTCTGTTATTTAGACCCTGACCTCCTGACTTCATAGAGAGGGAAAGCTCATGTCTTTAGGATATAAGGGACTTGATGAGATCTCCCGCTAGCTACATTTAGTTTGTGGCAGAAGAGGGTTTGACATTTCTCTTTCCTGCTGCACCAAGAAAGGTGAGGCATTAGGGATAGGTTAGCTCATGGATCACTGGCAGAAGTTGATCCCATCAGTGTGTTGCTACAATACTCTCATATAACAATAAGATATGGGACTTCTGATCCTGTCATCTTTGATCTCCTGCTTCTTTCATGGGCTACCATACCTGCCATAGTCCCCCCTCCATAGCAGCATCAAGTTAAGTGATATTTACTTCAATGGGTTTCTGGTATTTGACTGGGTACTTTTTTTTTTTTTTTTTTGGCTAGGCAATGGGGTTAAGTGACTTGCCCAGGATCATACAACTAGTAAGTGTTAAGTGTCTGAGGCCAGATTTGAACTCAGGTCCTTCTGACTTCAGGGCCCGTGCTCCATCCACTGTGCCACCTAGCTGCCCCATAATTGGGTATTTTGTCCCCCACTTATATTTTACATGTCTGTTCATGTTGGGGGAGGCAGGAATTGATTGTCTATAATTCTTGACCATTAGTTTTCTATTATAGGTGATTCTCTGGGCCATGTATCCTTTCACAGATCTGATCCCACTACTAACTGGTACACAGAAGCTTTGACCTGTTTTGTTTCCAGCATGGGCCAGTTCCCCCTCCTTCCTGGTGTACCCCTGGGGGCTCACCATATTCATATTGAACTTAGAACATTCAATCGTCTTAACCCACTGCCACTCAAACCTTTGAGCTCAAGAGATCCATTATCCTTAGCCTCTCCAGTAGCAAAGATTACAGGCATACATTACCACACCCAAATCATCAATGCCTTATTAATGAGTTTATGTGTTCCCCCTGTTAATGGCTTTGTGTATATGCAAATATAGAGTATAATTTTTGGTAACTCTATGGAACGTCTATTAGAACTTGCTATTACTTCCTGTGTTTTTCTGGCTGTACTTAGTCTCATGGGCAATCAAATCTAAAGGCACCTATGGGTAGCATAACTGCAGTGCAAAATAAATTCTTTATACGGAGGAGAAGTAATCTAGCAACCCACTGTTTTGTCTCCTGATTTCAGACTCCAAGTGAATAGCACTAGATTCCCTCTTCCCATTTGGTAAAATGTAATGCTGAGTCTCTCTGGGGAATCAATAATAAAACCAACAAACAAATGGAACTAAATGGTAAAAACTGAGGTGAATCTAATTTTTTTCTTCTTTTCTACTTTGACCAGGAATGTTTGTCCCAACTCAGAGAACAGAAGGCATCTCAACATCAGACATCATCACTAGAATTGTCCGTGACTATGATGTTTATGCCCGACGTAACCTCCAAAGAGGGTACACAGCCAAAGAGCTGAATGTTAGTTTTATAAATGTAAGTACATTTACCTCTTCCCTCTTCGAATAAGCTTTGATGACAAATATCACTTCCTAGGAGAGACATTTCCCATCTCCTGCCTCTCCTCTATTTATAGCTCCTATATTGACTGATTAAGGCAAAGAGTTTTTTTTAGATAGCCCATTGGTGCAATTTTTTTCTTTAATGGCAGGTATTTCTGACTTTAATGAAGTCAGAATACTCTTCCTTGATTTTATTTTTCAAGGTCAGTGAATTGTCCATTAAACACCTCAGATGCCTTTTCCATAGTTTATTTAAACAATTAGTTCAGTAGTATCTAAAGTCCTGTGTTTCTACTGTGTTATTCCCATAGAATTGCTTCCTTTAGCTTAATAAAACAGTAGTTGTTCCAACAGTCTGTACACTGAGTAAAACAAGGTGTTAAAAAGCAAAAGATGGTAGCTAGAATCCTACCAGAGGTGCTGGAAGGTCTAAATAGCTATATTTGCCTGGGCTTGGAGGAACATTAGAACAAGAAATCCATACCCAGCTTCAATCTTTACAAAATAATCTAGAGGCCAAATTTTTTAGGATGAGGAGTTGTCTAGAAAACTATAATTATTTGCAGTTATATTTATCTCATAGCATACATAATTTATCACTGGTCCCTTCAAAACATAAGTGATGGTTAATGGGATTGGTATTGATTACTGCTTGCTTTCAGAATCCAATGACTCCACTCTTAGGGCAATTTGGGATGGAAAGCTGACTGCCCTGGAGATGAAGGCCTCCTCACGGTACTGGCTCTGATCATGCCACTGAAAAGGTGGTGTGTATGTTTCAGTCAAGAGATTGACTGAAACTTTTTTTAAGCATCAGGCTTCCCCAAGTATGTGATTAAACCCCACATTTTATTTGAAAAAAAAACTGAATTAAACTAAAACCATAGGTGTGCATAGAGACAGACTCACTTTCAAAGCTTGTTGTTTACTGTCTTCAGTGATAATAAGCCACAGCAAAGAGGCCAGATAAAAATATAGCCTAAGCTTAGTGTTTCTGGATCTGTGCAATACAAAATGAACCAGGATAAGCCAGATCCCTCTGTCTCTGGCAACACTTGAGTCTTCCCAGGGTATGAGATTCTTCATTCTGTTTCTGTTATATCCCAGTGTACTTCCACTGATAAAGTGGATAGAATCACACTTGGAGTCAGGAAGACTTGGGTTCAAATCTTACCTTAGACACTTACTAGCTGTGTACCTGGGAAAGTAATTTAAACTCTTTTGCCTCAATTTTCTCAACTGTAAAATTAGGGAGTTGGATTCAATCAATCACCAAGCTTAGAAAAGTACATCACCAAAAGGCTGGCCACTATAACAGGTGAATTTTTTGGCCACAGCTACTCACAAAGATTATCTGCCAACCAGGGGGTTCATAACTTAGGGTCCACGGATGACCAAGGAGCCTGCAAAGTAGATTTCAGGGATCTGTGAACTTGGGGAAAAAAATCACATCTTTATTTTCACTAACCTCCAATGGAAATTAATCATTTTTTTCAATTATGAATTTAAAAAAACATTACTGTAAGAAGGAATCCACAGTCTTCATCAGAGAGTAAAATGGCTCCATGACCCAAAAAAGTTGAGGGGGTCAGGAGAGGGAGAACTCACAACAAGGAACACTTATTAAGTACCTACTATATGCCAAGCTCTGAGCTCAGTGCTTAGGACACAAGAACAAAGAGTGAAATGATACTCACAAGGTGCTTACATTCTAAAGGGGGAGATAATGGGTAAATATATAAGTAAAAACAGCATAATTATAAAGAGAATAAAACCAAGCAGTTAAACACAAGGTAGTTAGGGAAGAAGTCATCAGCAGTTGAGATGATCAGCAAAACCTTCATGCAGAACATGGTGGTTGAGCTGCATCTTAAAGGAAAAGGGACACTCTGTGAGGTAGAGGTTAAGGAGGGATTACCTTCCAGGAATGTGGAAGGGTCAGCCTTCCAGGCTGGTGGAAAAGCCATGGAGAAAAGAGGTAAAGTGAGGAAAAGAGAGCTGGATCTTAACTGGCTCCCAGAGTGTAAAAAAGCAATTAATGTCCCCCTGGAGGTGCTAGAGGAGCAGTTGGATGGCACAGTGGATAGAGTGCTGGGTGTGGAGTCAGAATGACTGTCTTTCTGAATTCAAGTCCAGCCTCAGACACTTACTAGCTGTGTGATCCTGGGAAAGTCAGAAACTGTTTGCCTCAGTTTCTTCATCTGTAAAATGAGCTGGAGAAGGAAATAGCAAACCACTCCAGTATCTCTGCCAAGAAAACCCCAAATGGAGTGATGAAGAGTAGGATGTGACTAAAAAATGACCGAACATCAACAATGGATGTGCTGGAAAGATAGGTTGTGTAGGGTTTCAGAAATTAAGCAGAGGATTTTATATTTCATCCCAAAGGCAATAGGAAGCTACTAGAGTTGATTGAGTAGGGGATGAGATGGCCAGATAGTTGCTTAAGGGAAATCACTTTGGCAGCAGTGTGGAGGGTAGACTCGGGTGATGATCAACTAGAGGAAGGGTCAGCAATTAGGGCTACTACAATAATTTAGATTTGGAGAAGTGAGATCCTGAGTTAAGGTGGTGGCTGTTTGATCAGAGAGAAGGGGTCAGATAGGAGAGAAGTTGTGATGGTAGCAATGGCAAGATTCAGAAACTGATTAAGTAGTGGAATTGAGATATAAGGAGAGTGAGGAATGGAGGATAATTCCAAGGTTACAAAATCGGAAGACTAGAAGGATGGAGACAAAGAGACAAAATTTTCTACAAAAGTACAAAAATGTAAGGCATTTCTTTTGTAAAATTTTGTAATCTAAACTACATTTTCTTACTCAGCTAAATAGGGAATAAGGTCCTTTCCAGGTCTAAATCTAGGATCCTCTAATCCTAGGGAATGACTTTATAAAAAGTCCTTTTAATGACTCTTTAAAAGGAGGATCTCAGAATAGCCAAAGAGTTCTAAGCTCTAGTATGTTACCAATGATCCAGATATTCAAAGTAGTGTTTGACGTAATCATTCACATTTATATTATCCTCATTTTATAGATGAGGAAACTGAGGTTCAGAGAAATGAAGTAACTTGCTCATGTCTACAAAGCTAGTAAATATCTGAAGCAGGATTTGAACCCAGCTACATTGCCTCTAGTGGTTCTCCAAGTTAGGTGCAGAGATCTCTAAGGATCTCTGAGAACTTTTCAGGCAGTCCGTGAGGTCAAAATTATTTTCATAATGATACTAAGACATTATTTGTCTATTAAAATACTCCTCCCTTTTCCAGTTACGTATCTGTATGAGGTCAGATTTTCTTCATATCCTTCAGCTAAAACAACGTTGCAATGGATTGAATGAAAAAGCAGACATGAGAATCCAGTTGTCTTCTTTTAAACCAAATATTAAAGAGATTTGCAAAAATACATAAAACAGTACCACTCATAAGTATGTTACTTGCGTTAACATGTAATAGATTTATTATTGTGATTTTTAAATGAATTAATACATTTTAAAAAGATTTACCAGTTTTAATTTCTAATAGGGTTAATAGTGATAGATATAATCCACCTAAACAAAAGCTCTTTGGCATTCTCAATAATTCTTAAGACTGAAAATGATTCCTGAATCCAAAAAGTTTGAGAACCTCTTCTCTGATGATCTTTAAATTATGTCATGATTTCTCTAAATACCACAATAGATGTGTCCAGCATAACAAAATAATTCACATAATCTCTCTAAGATCATTGTAATAGAAGCTGATATGCTTTCAATAGAAACAGTATGGTACAGTACTTCCACATGATGACTTTCCCCATCAGGGTTTCAATACATCCGTTGTGGACATAAGAAATTAAATGGGAATTTTTGGGAGTTTCATGGAAGCTGCAGGTGACACGTGAAGGCCACAAGACAAGGCAGAAAAAGTTTAGAAATTCAGAAATGCATAAAATATGTGTATAATATTGTATAATATCAACATATTTTACCTTTAATACCATAAATATACACAATTTCTTTTCTCTGGTACGAAGGGAGGGCCAAGAAATTTTACACAGATTTTCCAGATCACAGGGGCGCTGTGCCCCTAACTCCCATGATGTGGAAGGGATAACTATACATAGAGGGCCAGCCTTAGAGTGAGAGAGATCTGGGTTCAAGTCTTGTCTCTGACACATACTTCCTGCATAAGCTCTAAGCAAGTCGGCCTCATAGTATCTCAGACAAACTTCTAAAACTCATAAAGTTAGAGATAGTTTGTTGAGCTGTACAATAATATCATAATTCCACACTAAAATAAATACATAACTAAATGAATATAACCAACAACAAATCATACATAATCTGGGTATTAGGGAGCTTGGGTGCGCAATTTCCTTAATACGTCTCTGCTCATGATAAAGAGTAAGCCAATGCTTTGGAGTTCTCCCTTACGTAGTAACACTTACAAAAAGAAAATAGAAATCAGTTCTTTCTTCTTCTCACATATTTCAGTAGACTAGTGATCTTCAGTGTTTTTCCCACACACACTATTTTACCAGGGTCATAGAAAATCAACCCATGGTCAAATTGAGTCAGGTCAATAAGCATTTATTAAGTCCCTACTATGTGCCAGGTACTGTGCTAAGGACTAGGGATACAAAGAAATACAAAAACAAACAAAAAAAAACCAGTCTCTGCTTTCAAGGAGATCAAAGTCTATGGGGAAGACAACACACAAAGAACTATGCACCCACAAGTGATATGTGAGATAAACTGGAAACAATCTCAGAGGGAAGGCACTAAAATTAAGGAAGGTGGGACTTTAGCTGAGACTTAAAGGAAGCCAGGGAAGCTAGGAGGTGAGGAAAAGGAGGGAGAGACTTTGCAGCCAATGGGATGCAGGCAGTGAGAATGCTTGGAGTTGAGAAATGTACTGTTTTATGCAAGGAACATTCAGGAGGCCAGTTTCACTGGATCACAGAGTATGGGGAAAGGAATAAGGTATAAGAAGACAGGAAAGGTAGTCTGTATGGGTGGGTGTGTGTGTGTGTGTGTGTGTGAGAGAGAGAGAGAGAGAGAGAGAGAGAGAGAGAGAGAGAGAGAGAGAAAGAGAGAGAGAGGTGATCAAACTTGCATTTTAGAAAGCTCAATTTGACATGAGTGAATCTTTTTCAGGCCAGGAACATGTGAGAATATTGTAAGATACAGTGTCCATATACTGTATACGTGCATTATTTATCCTTCCCCTAAAGACCTACTCCAACACCTCATCATAGCATGGAAGTATCTCTGGATTCCTTAAGGCTATTCCAGCAAAACACAAGTTCCTACCAAGCCAGAAAGGCACCGAGTATGGGCCTGGTGATGTTTGCTTTCTGTCATCTCAAGATTGGCCGTGCTAAGTTCAGAAATGTTCATCACCAGAAGACTGGTCAACAAATGATGCATTTTTTTTTTGCCATAGCAACACTTAAAAGATTACCTTCTAAATTATAAAGATAATTCTTAACCTTTTTTTTTGTTATAGACTCCTCTGGCAGTCAGGTGAAATCTATGGGCAGGCCCCTTCTCAGAATAATGCTTTTAAAGGCACAAAATACCTAGAATTTTGAAAGAAACCAATTATGTTGAGACACGGCTATCAAGATTTAAAAAAAAAAAAGTTCATGGATCTCAGGTTAAGAATTCGTTTTATAGAGGAAACCAGGAGAGGAAGGACCCACACTTATGAAATAATCATGATGCTTGAAGTGTAGCAGTGGTAGTAATAACTCATGTTTTTCTAGTGCCCTAAGGCTTTCAAAACATTTTCCTCATGACAATCTGGTGAATCAGGTAGCACCAGTATTATTGTGTCTATTTTACAAATGGGGAAACTGAGGCTTAGGGAAGTTAAGTGACTTGTCCACCTTGCATAAACCAGTAAAAGTTGGATCTGGTATTTGTCTCTGTAAAGTCTCACCACACCCAAAATTGCATAGATACTGGATTAATCTCTATACTTTTCACCAGGAGAAGAAGTACCGCTTCCAGAACCAAGTAGACAAAATGAAGGAGAAAGTCAAGAATGTAGAGGAAAAATCAAAGGAGTTTGTTTATAAGGTGGAAGAAAAGAGCCATGATTTAATTCAGAAGTGGGAAGAGAAGTCTCGAGAGTTTATTGGCAACTTCCTAGAACTCTTTGGACCCGATGGAGCTTGGGTGAGTAATCTCTCCACTGGGGCCATGATTAAAAACTGTTCCCTTCTACTCAGCCCTACACCTAGTGTAGCAGGAGCAACACCCGCCATGTACACTAGGTTTGTTTTTATTTTTTCCTTAAAAGATAAGAAAGCTATCCTTGAAACTTGGTTGGTTCAGGAGGCTAAGGTTTCGCACACTGATGTGACTTTCCAGTTGCTTAGAGCATAAAAGTTCAGCCCACAAGCAGTTAAGTGGCCTTCAGATTCAGCAGCTTTCCCACTGCCGTGTAAGTCACTGCACTAAACATACTTTGCTGACCACACACTTTCTATATGGAGACAAGATGAGGAGGAGAGATACATTTACCTGAACAGCTGAATATCCTTTCCACACTATGGTTTAGTAAGTCTCCTTTTGTTTACTGCTGTCCTAATAAGGACCTTATTTCATCCTAATCCTTGACCTGAAGAACTAAATTAGCCCAAGCCAGGCAAGATCTATAACATATGGCCTCTGCATTGGAAATCAGGGTGGTTGACCTCATCTTTGCGTCATTTATTTCACTGAGAATGGTGCCCTAAGGGCTTTTCTCTCTAGGGGAGGAATTTATAGGGCATATACTCCATTGATGTCATTGATTGTGATGGCAATCACAGTTTTGCAGAAAGAGCCTATGCATACCATGTGAGGATTGAATTGGGGAAACAAAATGGTTTAAGGGGTTGAGAGGCTATATACAGTTTTCCTACTACATGCACTAAAAATAAAACCTATTTAATATGGTCACTTTAGGTATGGATAGGACTTCCTTCCAGGACAAGGAGATCTCCTTGGCTATTGGGGTGTTTCTGTTAGAGGACTACTTTAGAGAATCTCCCAGCCTATATTGATGAGCTTGGGGTTATCCCATAGGAAGTTTTCAAACCAATAAGACCAATTCTTTTTAATTTCATTTTTAACTCAATAAGAAAGAGGAGTCTACATGTATAAAAAAAGTGAGTCCAGAAAGGTAAATTTAGCCTGACAATTCAGGTGAAGAGGTCATGTAATAGCAGATTTGATTGCTTTATCAAAATGGTTGGTTGGAACTAAAATTCTGTCCTTCCACTGATGGCCTCCTCTGATGCCTCACTTTGGCAGGGAGGGGAGCCTGGATTAAAGAAGGCTGAGCCAATGGAGCAAAATCACTGGCAGGTCCCAGGACAGGCTGATAACATTATCTTTCATCTGAGGGAGAGCCTAGCTAAGTAGAGAGTAAGGCTTATCATCTCAGGGTTAGTCAATAGGTGAGAAATCTTTTCAGCCACATTCACTCACAAAGATGATCTATTAAGGTGCGGAAAAGCTGTGAGTTACAGTGGTGTATCCAGCTAAACAAGGAAATCATGGCTCCTTGAAGCCTTGGGGCAACCTTAGGTTAAGCAACAATTTGGGAAGCTTTTTGTTTTGTTTTTGCACAACAGAGCAAGGCTTAAGATTCATTCCTGAAGAGAACATGAACACTGTTGGCTACAGGTACCATTGTGCCCTCATTGTGGGACTGTCATTTTGTACATACTGATGAGAGGGAGGCAGATACGCAGGAGACAGAAGAAGAGGGCCCCCCCCCAATTGTCTGGACATCTGTATAGGTGTGTTTGAGAGGACCTCCACTGCTAGAACAAGGATTCTTAACCTGGAGTTCATGAATTTGTTTTAAAAACATTTTTGCATAGGGCAGCTGGGTGGCTCAGTGGATAGAGCACTGGGTCTGGATTCAGGAAGACCTGAGCTCTAATCCAGCCTCAGATACTTACTAGCTATGTGACCCTAAGCAAGTCACTTAACTCCAATTGTCTCCAAAAATGTTTTTATTACTATTTCAATATAATTTGTTTCCTTTCTAGTTTTATATATTTATTTTATACCAAAAAAAAAGATAAGAACCCTTGTGCTAAAATGACTCAGATCCACACATGACTTCTGGATGTATGTAGTCTGCTGACCATAGGGCAGGTGTGGACAGGATGTAACCTCTGTGTGCTCAATTGCAAAAGCTCACTATGGACTGAATGCTCCTTTCTCCCATCAGTAGTACCAGTAAAAGGTAAGAGGGAGTGGTTGGTGGAGAGCAGGAAGGTATCTGGGGTACTCAGAATAGGGCTACTCAGCCCTGACAATAACAAGTGAGATGGCTCTTCAGGCAAACCTTTTGGCACATCCTCAGATGTTGAGAAATAACTGCTTTGATTTATTTTTATTGTCAACCAGTCAACAAGCATTATTTATTAAGTTCCTACTATGTGCCAGGCACTGGGCTAAGCACTTGGGAGTACATAGAAGGGTCAAAATCAGTCCCTGCTCTCAAGGAGCTCACAGGCTAAAGGGGGAAAAACATGGAAACACCAATGTATGAACCAGATATACACAAGATAGATTTGCGATAACCTTTGAGAGAAAAGGTATAAGATTAAGGAGCAATGAGAAAAGCTTTTTGAAGAAAATAGGACTTTACCTGAGATTTGAAGAGAGGAAAATCAGGAGCTGGTGAAAAGGAGGGAGAGACTTGCAGGCATGGGGGACAATCAGTGAATGCATGAAATTGGGAAACAGACTCTTGTGTGCAAGGAACAGCAAAGAGGCCAGTGTCACTGGATCACAGAGTACCTGGAGGGGAATAAGGTACAGGAAGACAGGAAAGGTAGGAAGGGGACTGTTTATGGAGGCCTTTAAAAGCCAAACAGAAGATTTTCTATCTAATCATAGAGGTAATAGGGAGTCACTGGGGTTTTAGACTTGTCTTTAAGGATAATCTATTTGACAGCTGAATGAAGGATGGACTGGAGTGAAGAGATGAGTGAGACAGGGAGACCAACTGGCAGATTTTTGCAGTAGTTCAGGAGAAAAGTGATGAGGTCCTGAACCCTGCTGGTGACAGTGTCAGAGGAAAGAAGGACATGTATACATGAGATGTTACAAAGGTGGAAAAGACAGGACTTGACAACTGGTTGGATATGGGAGGGAAAAGAAAGTGCAGAGCTAAGGATAATACCTAGGTTAAGAACCTGAGTGACTGGGAGAAATGGTGCCTTCTACTATAGTAAGTTAGGAAGTTAGGAAGAAGAGAGAGTTTAGGGGAGGCAATGATTAGTTTCATTTTGGTTATGTTGGGGACAGAGTCAAGATAGCGGAGTAAAAGCAGTGACTTGCTTGAGCTCTCTCCCAAACTCCTCCAAATACCTATGAAAAATGTCTATAAACAAATTCTAGAGCAGCAGAATCCACAAAAAGATAGAGTGAAACAAATTTCCAGCCCAAGATAACCTGGATGGTTGATTGGAAAGGTCTGTTGTGCCAGGCTGGGAAAGGAGCACAGTTCAGCATGGGCCATGCAGGCAAACACCAGGCCTCAGCAAATCTGAAGCAGTCCTCAGGGGACTGAATCAAGGGCAGCTGTGGTGGTTTCCAGACTTCTCAACCCACAAATGCCAAAGACAACTTAGATCAGTGGAAAAGGTCTGTTGGACCACGGTGAGAGAGGAGCTTGGTCCCAGCCCCATACCTGGCGCAGCCCCAGGGTGGTGGCTGCTGCCAGAGCTCTCAACCCACAGATGGAGGGGGAATCAAGTGGCTTATCAGAGTGATGCAAGAAAATCATGAAAAACAAGTCAACAGCTTGCTAAAGGAGACCCAAAAAAATACGGAAGAAAATAACACCTTAAAAAACAGCCTAACCCAAATGGCAAAAGAGGTCCAAAAAGCCAAGGAGAAGAATGCCTTAAAGAGTAGAATTGGGCAAATGGAAAAGAAAGTCCAAAAGCTCACTGACAAAAATACTTCCTTAAAAATTAGAATGGACTAAATGGAAGCTAGTGACTTTAAGAGAAATTAAGACATTGTAAAACAAAACCAAAAGAATGAAAAAATAGAAGACAATGTGAAATATCTCACTGGAAAAACAACTGACCTGGAAAATAGATCCAGGAGAGATAATTTAAAAATTATTGAACTATTTGAAAGCCATGATCAAAATAAAGAGCCTAAACATCATTTTGGTTATGTTGAGTTTGAGATGTCTGTGGGACAACCAGTTTGAGATCCCCAATAAGCAACTGGAGATGTAAGACTAGAGGTCAGGAGCAAGGTTAGGGCTGGACAAATAGATTTGAGAATCATCTGCATAAAGATGATTGTTGAATCCATGTGAACTGATGAGCTTTCATCTATCTACTAGTAGATTAGAGAGGTGGTAGATAGATGGGATGCTGCCCTGGGGTTGTGATGCCCTGTCTCTGATTTTTCCAGCCTCACTTTGGGCATCATAGGATACTCAAAAGCACTGAAAGTTTGAACCATTGGCCTGGTACCCAACCCCAAGGAAGAAAATGTTTGATTTTTTAAAAAAAATTTAAGCAGGAGATGTTCTTGAATCTTTTCTCCCAGATCCTTTGGGTAATGACCAGAAAAGAGGAAAAGGACATGTTTAGAAACCATCTTGTATTCCCCTTTTTGTCCCCACAGACCTAAAGATAATACTTTTATTTTTGTGGAAAATGACAGGTATTAGTAGCAGAATTGATGGAAACTGTTTGCAAAGGTACTTTTTGAGCAACATGAGTTGACTTTTAAGAGAAAAGGAGGCAGTCCTGTTTGATTTCCAGCCTTTTAGTTATCTTGCATTCCCTATTATGACACATGAAGTCTCTTGACAAAATCTATTCGAACTTCATTATTTTATTGATGGATTGTCAGTGCTGTCTCCTGGCTGATTCAGATCTTTTATTATGTAATTATTCAGTGTAAAACATTTTCTAATGACAAAAACAAGGATTCCAGAGTTAGAAGTCACAAAACTCCTAGAAGGTAGAGGGACCTCGCCCCACCCAGGAATGACTGAGGCCAAATGCCATGTTGAGTACAGCTTTCCAGCCCCTAATTATACAGAGGAAGAACCTGAAATTCATAAAAGGAGAGATTTGTCCAAGGTAATGCCTTAAATATGTTTAGATTGCAGCTGTGATTTGATTGGAACTGGGAAA